GCACTGCCCCTGCCCCTGCCTATCCCCTCCCGCTGCGGCCCCAGTTGGTTCCCTGTCTGCCAGCAGCCCTGTTCCCACCGCCGCCACTGCTCACACCTGCTGATGGCGCTGAACAATTGGGGCCAGCGCCGGGCACAAGTAGCAGGTGCCAGTGGCAGCTCTGGCGCTGGCAGCGGGTGTGAGCAGGGCCGGCAGCAGGTACAAGTGCCAGGCAGGACCGCGGTGTGCGGAAGCAAAGAATTTTCAGTAACCACCAGAGGCTCGCCCCGATGACAGTGACCGGCGCCCCACCTTGTTCTTACGCCCCCCACTCACCTGCTCCATCATCCCACCGCAGCGTGTTCCATGCTCTGCCACCTGCTGCTGACTCCCATCATGTTCCTTGTGCACCCCCTGGTCATCAGCGCACATCATAGCAACCGGTTGTTCGGTTATTCCACCAGTTGGTCTATTTGCATATTAGGGTTTTATATATAGATAGATTATATATACTTTTTAATATATCTATATTGATTTCAGAGAGGAAGGGAGACGGAGAGAGAGATAGAAACATCAATGATGAGAGAGAATTATTGATCGGCTGCCTCCTGCATATCCCACACAGGGGATCGAGCCCCAAACTGGGCATGTGCCCTGACCAGGAATCAAACCATGACCTTCATAGGTCAATGCTCAAACACTGAGCCATGCTGGCCGGGCAGGAATTGTGATCTTAAGAGCAGAGCAGCCCCAGTACTAGCCCTGCAAAGTGATTCTCCCCTTTTGGGAATCAGTCACTGACTGGCCTCACTGGCCTTGCCCACACATTCAGCCTTCAGAGCTTTGTGTCTATTGCTCCTTTTTATTCAGGTTCCAGTTTAAATTTATCATTCTTCCCCCTCCCTCCACAGCTTAGCAACACTAAGGGGACTATTTTAATGATAGTAAGTACTGATTTATAAATGATTGTCATTATTGTTTATCTTTCCAGCTAAAATGGCAGCTCCATGAGACTGGAGACCATTTGTCTGAGTTACTGCTGCTGCCCCAGTGCCTGGTACCTAGCAGGGGCTTGATTGATATGTGTTGGAAGGCTGGCTCCCTGTTTCAACTTGCCGGGGGTGTTCAAGTGGTCTGGGAGGCTTTTCCCAACTGCAGGAAGCTTGTTTCTGACTCAGGCTATGGAGAGTTATATCACCATTAAGACTTCAAGAATGGGCCCAGCTGCCGTGGCTCAGTGGTTGAGCCTCGACCTATGAACCAAGAGATCAAGGTTCTCTCCCGGTCAGAGACATGCCCGGGTTGCAGGCTGGATCTCCAGTGTGGGGCTTGCAGGAGGCAGCCCATCCATGAGTCTCTCTCATCATTAATTTTTTTTTCTCTCTCTCTCCCTCTCCCTCTCTCTGAAATCAATAAAACACTTTTTAAAAAAGACTTTGAGGATTGTGAGAACTTTGGCTTCAGAGGCAAATGTTTCCCCATGAGGAAAAAATAAAATTTTAAGTTATGACTTTATCTCTCAACCCCCACTTGTCCCATTTAGGAAGAAACTTCAGGGATGAGATAAGTGAATAAGGACTTGGTGTCTGCACTCCAGTTATACTTCAGCTCCATGTCTCCCCAAATTTCACTCTCTGGCCTTGATTCTTGGCACCCCAAATGACCCAGGTTTTCCTTCAAATCATGCTCCTGTTTGTTCCTGAAGATTGGCCCAACTTCTGGTTTCATTTTAGCCTCTGTTAGTAATGAAAAGTGGACACTGACAGTGTGGTTCAATGCTCACCTTTGCATTTCTAAACTCTGGGGGCTGGATAGACAGAAGGTACATGAAGGAAGGAGGAATCCAGAACAGACGTGACCCCTGCCTGTTTCTGCCACCATTTAAGTCGCTACTGTGATGTGGTGTGATCTTGAAACAGCTCTGGTTTACCTGTCTTTTCTGTCCAAATCTGTTTTAGTTTGTTCGTTTGGCTAGGACCCTCAGCTGTCATTCTGACAGTGAAATAACCCTGATCCTATTAGAGTGAATAGGACTTGTGGTCCTCTGTGGTCTTGAGCTTCTTTTCTAGAAGTCATGATTATAACCAATGTCACTCACAACCTTCAGGAATAGATTATCATGACTTGATACCTCCAGTCCTGAGACCCTCCTTTCCCCACCCAGTGTGACCTGCCATTCATGCTGATAAACTCTGCCTCTTTCCAAAAACTGAAAGTGCTTTCTATCATTAGCTTATTGTTCAAAACCTATTTTTAAGCCAATGAGAGTGTGTAAATGCTTAGAAAAGAACAAAAATTGAAAAAATGCAGAGTACATAACAGATGCAGGAGGCAGCTGTGGTCATTCTAATTCACATTATTTCTTCACCAGATCTACCTCTGGCAGATGGATCTGCTATTGGGAAGAGTTTTTATTATTTATTTTGTTTTTTGTTGGTTTGTTTTTTCCCTTGGGAAAAGTTTTTAGATCAACTAACAGGACCAGCCAGCGTGGCTCCGTGCTTGAGTATCAACCTATGGAATCATGAGGTCATGATTTGATTCGGTAGGGTTGTGGGCTCGACCAAGCCCATCAGTGATTCTCATCATTGATATTTCTCTCTCATTCTCCCTCTCTGAAGTCAATAAAAATATATTTTAAAAAAGAATCAATTCTGGCAGTGAGACAGTCAGTCTCCCTGGCATCTCTGACTTTCTTGTGATTTCTTCCCACCATGTTTCTTTTTTCTTTTTTTAAAAAATTCTTGCCTAGCCAGCATGGTTCAGTGGTTGAGCATCAACCTATGAACCAGGAGGTCCCAGGTTCAATTCCCAGTCAGGGCATATGCCCGGGTTGCAGGCTCGATCCCCAGTATGTGGCGTGCAGGAGGCAGCCAAGCAATGATTTTCTCTCACCATTGATGTTTTTCTCTCTCTCCCTCTCCCTTCCTCTCTGAAATCAACACAAATATATTTTTAAAAATATTTCTTCTTTTTCCATCAGGTTTATTTAAAAGATGATTGGTGGGATGAAGGGGCAAGGCTCTGTCCAGAGAGGGTCCAGGTGAATGGGAAAGGCATTGATCACAGCACCCTTTGTGGTAAAATTGACATGGGAAAAAACCCAATGCTGTCACAAATAGGGTATCAGTTCAATAAAAATGTCACCCTTTAACTCCCTGGGCTTCAGATTTTGTCATCTGTAAAATGGGGATAGTAATAATATCCACAACATTCAGTTATTAGGATTAAATGGATTGATACATATAAATCACCTTCAACAGTGTCCAGCACATTCTCCAATAAATGTTAGCGGTTACACATTTGTGCAGTGAAATAGTTTACTCTTCAGCAATCATGAAATAGAAGGGTATTTAATATCCTGGAAAGACACCGGTAGTTTAGGTACATGGCAAGGGATGTGCCAAATCAATACAATGCAGTATAGTCTATTTTTGTTAGTACACACAAAAAAAGGGCAATATGCTTTTTAAAAAATGTTATTTTAATCCTCACCCAATGAGTGAGAATATATTTCCCATTGATATTTAGAGAGAGTGGAAAGGATGGGTGAGGGGGAGAGAGAGAGACATCGTGCTCCAACCAGGGGTGGAGGACTGAACCTGCAACCAAAGTACTTGCCCTTGACCAGGAATCGAACCGGAGACCCTTTCGTTCACAGGCCAATGCTCTAACCATTGAGCAAAACTGGCCAGGGTGGCAATATGCTTTTGGATGTGTCTCCTTGTTTCAGGTGGCTTTAGAACATTTTTCAGATTATGGTATTTGTGATAAAAATCGTGTAAAAAATCACAATTTTGAGAATTGTAGCAGTTGATGTTAAGATCCAATAGGAAGCTACTTAAACCTTGTATTTCAACTTTGTAAATTGTATATCCTGACCACTTTAAGATGAATAGCGATGCAGCTTCCGGTAGAAGTTGAAATAAGGACGATTCGGATAGGCTCCTGAGATTGTTGTGCCTAATTATTTGCAGACTCATGCCCAAACCGTTGCCTAGGAGCATCAAGCCCAGCGCACCCCTCCACCCCCACCCTCCCCACACACACTCCCATCCTTCCCACAGAACGGACTCTTCTCATCCGGGAGTGTCCAGAGGCCCATCAATCGCTCTAAGAACTGGAGAACTTTGTAGGGGGCCTGTGCATGTGTGATGGTTTTATTCTATGCTTCAGATCTTGCTTGGCTAAGATTGTGCTGCTAAAAAGCAGTTTATACACCACTCCTTTAAAAGAAAATCGGCCTGGCCTGGGTGGTTCAGTGGTTGAGCATCGACCTATGAACCAGGAGGTCCCGGCTGGATTCCGGTCAGGGCCTACGTCTGCGTGGGCTCAATCCCCAGTGTGGGGCGTGCAGGGTGCAGGAGGCCCATCCATGATTCTCTCTCAGCATTGATGTTTCTGTCTCTCTCCCTCTCCCTTCCTCTCTGAAATCAACAAAAATATATTATAAAAAAGAAAATCCTGTTTCTGTTTCTGAAAGTCATATTTCTGATTTTTAGTGAGTGATTCGCATCCTTGCCCCTGGACATTATTCTTGTCTATAAAAAGGGCTCTTAGGGGGTGGGAATGGATTGAATTTAAGGGGCGGAGGCCCCGCCCTTGTGCCGGAAGCCACCGTCCCTTAGTGCGCCTGCGTGGTTCTCCCACACTTCGGGGAGGATTCCTATCCGTTCCTTCTACACTTGGCAGCTCTTCCTGGCAGCAGGCAGCCATCTTGCCTGGAGCTTGAGAGAGGGAGGAGACAGTAGGGAAGGGTGACTCCGGTCTCAGGGCCGCCCCGGGGGCCTTGCGAGCCGGAGGCAGCCCCTGAGGTGGTCCCTGATCCAGGGCCCCGTCTTGGACCCGAAAAGGGAAGGCG